TGTGTGTGTGTGTGTGTGTGTGTGTGTGTGTGTGTGTGTGTGTGTGTGTGTGTTTGTTTCTGCTACAGAGTGAGGACCATTTGCAAAATAGTTATCGGTACTATCAAAGTGAGGTCTTTGGTGTAAAGTGAGGACCTTTTCCCGGTCCTCACTTTTTTTGCAGCTCTACCGCGCTTTACTAGTTAGGTTTAGAGGTTTGGTGTGAATTATGTTCTGGTTCAGAGTTAGGAATAAACTAGTAATGGTTAGTGTTAGGAAAAATGTCTGGGTAAGGCATAAATGTAGTTACAAAAAATGAATGGAAGTCAATACAAAGTCCTCAGTTTGATGCAAGCACAAGAATGTGTGTGGGTTTGTGTGTGTATTAACTATATATCCTATGAACCAGTAGATGCATTTTAATAAAGCTTTGAAAAGGTTATTATTGGATGTACCTCTACAACTGATTAACTTTTGGAGCCAAGATGGCCGCCACAGCCTACTGACATTTGAAAACATAAAAATAGCCATAATTCAGTCAGTTTTAGGGATACTGAGCTACATTTTGGTGTGGTAGTAGCTGAGTGACATTCACAACACACACTCCAAGCACTAACACGTCTTGCATGAGATCACATCCTTTACAAGGTTTGACTAAATGACTTTCATCCCCCGTCAACATGACGACTACGTGTTCCTTCAAAGAAAGCTAAGCTAAGTTTAGGTTTAAGTTCCAGCCTCTTTAGTATCCAGTCTTTATCGTTACCTTTTTTTTCCCCCAATCTGGAACCTGACCAGCTGTGACAAAGATTTCATGAGACACCTGCTCAACGAGTTTATCTACTCAGCCTTTCCCAGGTGTTTCAGTAACATGAGCTTCCACTGCACTTCTGTTGTTGCTGCAAACATTTATAAAAGCAGTTCTGGCTTCTGTCAGGTTCACAGCACAGAACTATTTACAGGCAAAAATATTCATAATCATATAGGAGGAAGGATTTTAATACAGAATACACACAAGAAGTTGTCCCTTGATTTCTCATGCATGTCAGTGCAGACGTGTTGAAAGTTATTTCGAGTTTATCTCTGAATGAGTCAGTGTCTCTAAATGTGGCTATCTGATTCTTAGTTTGCAGATATAAATATGTTCTTAGGCTTCAAATGTGCAGAAATCCTGGGATTTACTCTACTTGTACTGGAGTATCTTGATTACACCTGCAGCAGAATTTGATTTAACAAAAAAATAAATAAACAAAAATAACTGATCACCTGTTAGAAATGTCACACCAAAGATAAATAAAAAGCATCTCACTGTGTTGATTGAGCAGCATCCTGATGGATATCCTGCTCATATAGAACCGATCCAGAAAATACTGAACATTCTGGCTGACCACTGGGTCCGTGCCGTACGCCTCTTTGTACTCCACGACCCCCTGCGCCATGGTGGGGACGACGTCATTGTGGCGATTTCTGATTTTGATCACCGCATCTGTGAAACTAATTAGAGACAAAAACAATAAAAGAAAATGTTAGAAAATAACCAGCAGTAACAAATGAGCCACTTCTCARTATAACTCACTCGTATGTGACTTTCTCATCGTCTGCGTTTTTGTCTTTGAACTCAAGAATATCCTGAAAACTTTGCATGTACCTGCATGGAAACGATTTTTTCAAAATTACTGAAGGCAGGAGTGTAAAGTGAGAGATTAGGAGGTGTAGCAGAACCTGCATACCAGCTCTGGACCAGACGGACTGATGGAGTCCTCAGCAGATTGTCCGGCAGCAGATTGATCTCCTTCATGATGTTGGCCAGCCTCACAGGTAACTCCTGYCTGAGGAAGGCAAAGGAGGTTTTCTCACACGCATTCTCTGAGCCTGGATGACAAAAGGAAACACAGAAAATAGCATCAATATTACAAGAATACATACAACAAAGCTAGATTACAATTGTTATTTTTGTGGTATATAGTGTTAGTTGATGTGGCGGCAAATCTTGAATCAATTATATTAATGTTAAGGTTAGTTGTAGATGTACAGTGGGGAAAATAAGTATTTAGTCAGTCACCAATTGTGCAAGTTCTCCCACTTAAAAAGATGAGAGAGGCCTGTAATTGACATCATAGGTAGACCTCAACTATGAGAGACAAAATGTGAAAAAAAATTTGAGAAAATCATTTTGTCTGACTTTTAAAGAATTTTTTTGCAAATAATGGTGGAAAATAAGTATTTGGTCAATAACAAAAGTTCATCTCAATACTTTGTTGTATATCCTTTGTTGGCAATGACAGAGGTCAAACGTTTTCTTTTAGTCTTCACAAGGTTGGCACACACTGTTGCTGGTATGTTGGCCCATTCCTCCATGCAGATCTCCTCTAGAGCAGTGATGTTTTGGGGCTGTCGGCGGGCAACACGGACTTTCAACTCCCTCCAAAGGTTTTCGATGGGGTTGAGATCGGGAGACTGGCTAGGCCACTCCAGGACTTTGAAATGTTTCTTACAAAGCCACTCCTTTGTGGCCCTGGCAGTGTGCTTGGGATCATTGTCATGCTGAAAGACCCAGCCACGTTTCATCTTCATTGCCCTTGCTGATGGAAGGAGGTTTGCACCCAAAATCTCACAATACATGGCCCCATTCATGCTTTCATGTACACGGACCAGTCGTCCTGGTCCCTTTGCAGAGAAACAGCCCCAAAGCATGATGTTGCCACCCCCATGCTTCACAGTTGGTATGGTGTTCTTTGGATGCAACTCMGCATTCACTTTCCTCCAAACACGACGAGTTGTGTTTTTACCAGATAGTTCTACTTTGGTTTCATCTGACCATATGACATTCTCCCAATACTCTTCTGGAACATCCAAATGCTCTCTAGCAAACTTCAGACGTGCCTGGATATGGACTGGCTTAAGCAGGGGGACACATCTGGCACTGCAAGATCTGAGTCCCTGGCGTTGCAGTGTGTTGCTGATGGTAGCCTTTGTAACATTGGTCCCAGCTTTCTGCAGGTCATTCACTAGATCCCCCCTTGTGGTTCTGGGATTTTTCCTCACCGTTCTTGTGATCATTTTGACCCCACAGGCTGAGATCTTGCGTGGAGCCCCAGATCGAGGGAGATTAGTAGTGGTCTTGTATGTCTTCCATTTTCTGATTATCACTCCCACAGTAGATTTCTTCACACCAAGCTGCTTGCCTATTGCAGATTCAGTCTTCCCAGCCTGGTGCAGGTCTACAATTCGGTTTCTGGTGTCCTCCGACAGCTCTTTCGTCTTCACCATAGTGGAGTTTGGAGTGTGACTGTTTGAGGTTGTGGGCAGGTGTCTTTTATACTGTTAACGACTTCAAACAGGTGCCACTAATACAGGTAATGAGTGGGGGAAAGAGGAGCCTCTTAAAAAAGAAGTTACAGGTCTGTGACAGCCAGAAATCTTGCTTGTTTGTAGGTGACCAAATACTTATTTTCCACCATTATTTGCAAAAAAATTCTTTAAAAGTCAGACAAAATGATTTTCTCAAAAAAAAAAATTCACATTTTGTCTCTCATAGTTGAGGTCTACCTATGATGTCAATTACAGGCCTCTCTCATCTTTTTAAGTGGGAGAACTTGCGCAATTGGTGACTGACTAAATACTTATTTTCCCCACTGTATATTTAATGATTACTTTCAGTAAGTTTCACTAAAATTCGTTCAGTGGTTAAAAAGAGACACTTTGGTTATAAAAARCAGACATTTATCTCACATCCTTCCATTGTTTGTGTTTGTAAATATGCAGCATCCCTTACCAAAATCCAGGAACTGTTTTATTGAAAGAGGAGAAGGAGAAAATCTGGAATAATAGTCAATATCCTTTCCTATTGACACGCTGCTCCTCAGAAATCTTAATAGCCTCATTCTGAGCCCGGCCTGCTGCTTTTACAGACTGAAATTTGACTGAAGCAGGTAACCTCCAAAAACAAAACACTCCGAGCCACACAAGTTGGTGTTTTTAGGATACTGGCTTGCTGTTTAAATCCATCAATTCAAAAAATAGGCTAGTGGATTAAAAAAATTTGTTTCGTTATCTCGCAAATTACTTCAGCATCTCTAATCCCAAAACACACTGCAATTATTGTTCATCGTCATTTAGTTCAAACGTTCCCTGCTAAATCCACGGCTGCACACAAGTCAACAAGCTAGTTCAAAGAGTAATTACAAAGTCAAGAGCAACACTCATTTCACCTTGTATTCATGTTTCGATTTCATTTTTGTAGAAATGCAATTTTTAAACAAAGATTAATGTTTTGTTTTTGTTCATTCTAAATCTCAACAAAAGCAAACGTAAAATAAAATCAAACTTTTCGTCATAACTGCTTGTGTTTTAACTTTTACTGTAAAGTAGTCCCTTGGTTCGGTTTATATTACTTAAATCTTCAGTCTAGGTCGTGTTGTATTTATTTATTTAAAATTCTAGTTTTATAAAACAATTATATTGACGATATAATATAGCTGCGTCACTCAACGTTTCAGGAACTTGTACTAAACAGCCCGTTTGATCCGTTCCTTATTGCCGGATATATCGCTTGTTCTTGTTTACTCTTTGAAAAATAAATTTGTCTTTGCCCAGAAATTTGTCTTATCAGGCAACCAATCAAATGTGGTCTTACTTTGGAACCTAATTGTGATTGGACGTAAAGACTCACAAATTTGTCAGAGGCAGGTTTTTTTTTTTTTTAACCTGGCAGCCAAAATTCAGGGCGAAATTTCATTGTCGTCATTTCCTTTAGGTAGCCAAAATAATTGCCTGTTTGAGGAAAATGTTCAGTTCGCCACGTTTTTAAGAACGATGTGTTCGTAGATTTTAGTTTCTTTTACGCTGAAAAGTGTCGTACAGAAACTTTTGTTTACCGATAAAGTGTGGAAAGTCATCCTAATTGACTGCGTGTGTCTTTGCTAACGTTAGCTGGACTAGCTCGCCGTCAACACGCGCCAAAAGTCGTAAAGATTCAGCGAGGAAGTGAGCATAATCTGATATCTGAGCTGTTGTTTTTTATTCTTAGAAAAAGAAAATGAGTGGTGGATTTAATTTCGGACAGTCTCCGGGCTTCAACTTTGGAGCTCAGAAGACCACAGCCGCTGCTGCCCCCAGCACGGGCTTCGCTGTAACCAACTCCGCAGCTCCGGGAGGGGGCTTTAGCTTCAACAATACCACCCAGGCTAATACCAACCCTACCGGCACTTTCAGCTTTGGCACCCCGGCTAAGACCTCTGCAGGTGGCGCGGGGTTCTCCTTCGGCACCCCCACCACCACCACTTTTGGCTTGGGTACGACTCCTCAAACTACGGCAGCCACAGGGTTGACGCTGGGCACCGCAGCAGCTCCAGCTGCGGGCTCAGGGTTCACTCTGGGTAGCCTGCTGTCCGCACAAACCAGCGCTCCTGCCCCAGTAGGAGGAGGAGGATTCGCCTTTGGAGCTGCCTCCCAAGCGCAGCCCACACCAGCAGTTGCACCAGCAGCTGCACCAACAGCTGCACCAGCAGCCCCATCAACAGCGAGCGGCATGTCGTTTGGAGGAGGGTTTAGCTTTGGGACCAACAAAGTCCAGGTGACCTCAGCTGCAGCTCCCACTGTTGCCCCAGCAGGCGGCTTCAGCTTTGGTACCACAGCAGCCCCCGCTACCGCAGCTCCAACAACCCAGAGCGGGGGGTTCAACTTTGGGGTAAAACCTTCAACCACCCCAGCTCCTCCTCCCGCATCCACCCAGGCAGCTTCAGTTTCAGGCCCGTCTCTGTTCGCCATTCCCATCGTCACCACGACCGCTGCCACCGCCACAACAGGGTTCACGTTTGGTGCAGCTCCATCCACCGCTGCAGCCACCACAGCAGCCAGTGGAGGTTTAACCTTCACGCTCAAACCTCTGGGATCAACAGCTACCAGCTCTGCTCCTGCCTCCACCGCCCCGGCTGTGGCAGCGGTCCCTGCAGCTGCCGCCACAGCCTTCACGCTGGGACTCAAGCCTACTGCCACAGTCAGCAGCACGACACCCGCCACGGCCACAACCATCAGCACCACGGCGGCTCCTCCGGTGATGACCTACGCCCAGCTGGAGAGCCTCATCAACAAGTGGAGCCTCGAGCTCGAGGACCAGGAGAGGCACTTCTTGCAGCAGGCCACGCAGGTGAACGCCTGGGACCGCATGCTGGTGGAGAACGGAGAGAAGATCACGTCGTTGCACAAGGAGCTGGAGAAGGTGAAGCTGGACCAGAGGAGGCTGAACCAGGAGCTGGACTTCATCCTGTCCCAGCAGAAGGAGCTGGAGGACCTGCTGTGCCCGCTGGAGGAGTCCGTGAAGGAGCAGAGCGGAACCATCTACATGCAGAACGCCGACGARGAGCGAGAGAGAACGTACAAGCTCGCCGAGAACGTCGACGCGCAGCTGAAGAGGATGTCTCAGGATCTGAAGGAGATCATCGAGCACCTGAACACGTCCAGCGGCCCGGCCGACACCAGTGATCCAGTAAGAATCAGACGTTCGGTGCCAATCACCCTGCTCTGGTGAAGTTTTGGCGCTTTGATTAATCTCATCCTCTCGTTTTATTTTGTCTTTCAGCTCCAGCAGATTTGTAAAATCCTCAACGCCCACATGGACTCACTGCAGTGGATCGATCAGAACTCGGTTCTCCTGCAGAGAAGAGTGGAGGAAGTGTCCAAACTGTGTGACACCCAGCGCAAGGAGCAGGAAAAAACCTTCCGCTTAACCTTTGACTGATCTGCAACTGGAGTTAACTTTGCTTAAACATAATGCTAGTTTAGTTATTTTTTTTCTCTCTGTTTGGATTTACAGTTTTCACAATTCTTGTTTCTGATTTTTCTCAGTATCGTTTGATTCTTCTGGATTTCATGGTTAATATTTTCAACTGAATATTTTTTAAAGCTAATTATATCTGTAAATTGTTCTGAGTAGTATGAATAAATAATTTTTGCAGTACATGTGTTTTGAGTTTTTTTTTTCATTTATATTAAATTAATATTTCTTTTGAAAGCTGTTCCTGAGCACACATCCATTAGTGATGAAGTGATACGTTTTATAATAATACTTACCTTGCTGTGAAATTACATTTTAAAAAGGAATAAAGTGTATTTATCAACTAGACTTCCAAAACCATAAATTGATTTAAATTCATGTAGCAGTGCATTTAGATCTGTCTTGCATAATTTTAGGTTTTTGAAAAGACAGATTTAGATACGAGTAAACTGTTTTTCATGTAAAACAATATGCAAATTGTTTAAATATATACAACACTTGCATAAAAATTGTAAACCAAAAAAACACTATACCTCTATGTGGAATTAAAATATAACATTTATGGCTTAATTGCAAGAATGTCCAAATGGTTTCCAGTTCAAAATAAAAATCATAAGATGTTTAGAAAGTATGACCCATAAAATAAAACGATTAAATACTGTCATCTCTTAATTCTAACGAGACATTGATGAGTTGACGCCTCAGTAAAAACTTAAAATTGTATTTGTTATTAAAACAAATACTCCTAATCCAGTAAATAAAAAATACCTAAAAAAATAAGAAATTGTTTAATATCTATCCTTTCAATTATGTTTAAAAGAAAAACAAAGTTTTGTCTTTGCAGAAACGCGAAATCTTTTTGTCCCTCAGTGTTTCCGTAGCACGCAGTTCCACAACGTGCCTGAGCAGCAGACTTTTCTTTCTGGTTTCCAGTGTGCAAAAGAGCCGCTTCTTCAGTGGAAATATCGTACGTATAATGTTCATGTTTGTGGAAAATGTTGTAATGAGTTGTTTATATTAACAAGCGACACTTTTATTGTGTTACAAATAGGTGAAATGTCTTTTGTAGTACGTTTGAATGRCACGCTGCCATGTATACACCTCCATGCTGTGTGCGTTTTAATGACGAAGTTAAGGTACCAATTCAAGCATTATTTGACAAAATAAACTGCACAATGATTAAAACACGACCTATTAATCATGTTGCACTTCTATTCACGTATGCCAAAGTGGATTTACTTCATATCAGTGCAAGGTTTGGGGGTGGTTAGCATGTATTTGATTTATGCTAAGCTAACAGGTTGGTTAGTCACCGCAGGCTAAGATAAATGTGTTTGATGCAGTACCTACCAAAAGTCCTAATATTGTAGACTTTTGGAAAACCTAATTACTTTAGTTTTAAAAGCTAAAAGCATGTGTACATTAARGGGGAAGACCTCCAGCTGAAACATGAACATTTGACTCATTTTAATGAAAGTGATGAAGATAAATCTGATGAAATCACCTACCAAATCATTTGGTGGGTAACTGTATCAAACAGGGGAATGTCCTAATATGAGACTTTTTAAAAATGGTTTCTAGTCTATTACTTTAGTTTTGAAAGCTAAAGGCATTGGGAATAAAAAAAAACTGATTCTTGAACCATTTAATTTGACTAATCTTAATAGTCAAGATTATGTTGTATGCACACATGGGTTAGTTTCTGCATCTTTCTGGATTTTTCTCTCATGTCATTAACTAAACAAATCCAGATTATAACCACCAGTTTTCAGTTAAGATAGCACATTGTTGTAACCTTTGTCATCAAATAGGAGTGTATTKTGTGGTGAATGCCAATTGTCTTCCTCGTGTTTTGCTGTAGTGAACCATAATGGCAGAAACACAAGAAGAGATGACCTCCCTTGAGATGAAAGTGGCACGCCAAGTAGAGGTAATYAGTTGTGACCTTAGCTTTACTTGTGCGAATGATAAATTCCTAAACTGAGCTAAAAAGATGTCTCTCTTTTTATTGCCCAGTATTACTTTGGGGATCACAATCTCCCAAGAGACAAGTTTCTCAAGGAGCAGGTCCTGCTTGATGATGGCTGGGTGACATTGGAGACCATGCTTAGATTCAACAGGTTTGTTTTTCCTAACTGCATTAACATCAGTAAAAGTAAGAAATTATAGCTTCGCTCTCTTTATTTTGTATTTTTTTCATACTGATAAGTCCTTGCTCATTTTAAAGCATTAAAAAACCAAGGAATGATAAAATGTTTGCCTTTCCTTAGATTAAAGACGTTAACTACAGACAGCAGCGTCGTCGTTTCGGCTCTCCAGAAATCAAAGACAGGCCTGTTGGAGATCAGCGAGGACAAGACTAAAATCAGGAGGTCTCCAGACAAACCCTTACCAGAAATGAATGAGGAATACAGAGATGGACTCAAACACAGATCTGTTTATATTGTAAGTTTGCATACCCACTCRACAACATTGTGTGTTGATTTACAATTAGCGAACACCAGTGGTGCAATCCTTAAAAGGTCTGCTGTGAGCTCTACGTAATGTCCAGCTAAAACAGGTTTGTATTGTTTCAAAGGTATTACTCAGTGCTTTTCAGTAAAATAAGATTGTAACATTGAAGGTGTATTGTGTGTGACCTTATAACACCTGACAGTGTCAGTTATTTAAAAAAAAAATGAGTATCAGCTAAAATTTGAATCTGCAGGTCAGACTTTTTAACCAGTTGAGCTTCACGGCCCCAGTACTGGGGAAAACATCATTTTCTGTATCCAAACTTTATAGCATTTTGTATTTTTTCTGACTAAAAATGTTTTGATGCATTTTGTTGTACTGATAGAAATTTCCATTGTACTCCTTTATCATTTTATCTCAGGTGTTAATGCTTTCCTACATTTCAATATCTAATTTTTCTTCCTCATCTAGAAAGGATTTCCTCTTCAATCTACTCTTGATGAGATCCAGGAGTGGCTGAATGGAAAAGGCAACATAGAAAACATCCAGATGAGGAGAAACCTGGAAAGGCAGTTTAAGGTATGCAAAGCAGTCTCATTTAATTCTGTAATAATTTACACATTTAGGTCAGCTGTGARGTTAATTTTTATATATTTAAATTTGTAGGGATCTGTGTTTATCTGCTTTGACTCTGAAGAGTCATCCAAGCAGTTCTTGGAACGTTCTGATATAAAAACATTCAAAGACAACGAGATGATTGTGTTGTCAAGGTAAGCTGCACTCATTCTAGTTCCTTGTAATTCTGTAAAAAAAATGCATGGTAATGACAATGAAACTGGATATACACTCCTGATCAAAATCTTAAGACCAGTCAAAAAAGTACAAGAATTTGCATTTTGCACTATTGGATCTTAAGAAGGTTCTAAGTAGAGCTTCACAATGTTAAAAGAAGAAATCAGTGCAAGAGACAAGAACTTTTGAGCAGGGAATTGTCTGAAAACTGCATTTACACTCAAACATGATTTTTTCAGCTGATCAAAAGTTTAAGACCATAGCTCAAAAAACCCCGAAAACCCCCCAAAACAGAAATCAGAGTGTCAAAAAAAGGACTCAGTAATGAGTAGCTCCACCATTCTTGTTGATGACTTCAAACAATAGTTTAGGCATGCTTGATGTCAGTGTTTCCAGGAGGCTAGTGGGAACGTTGCTCCAAGTGTTGAAGATGGCTTCACGAAGGGCATCCACTGTCTGGAACTGATGTCCATTTTTGTAAACTTCCCTTGCCATCCATCCCCAAATGTTCTCAGTTGGGTTCAGATCCGGGGAACATGCAGGATGGTCCAAAAGAGTGATTTTATTCTCTTGGAAGAAGTCCTTTGTCAGGCAGGCATTGTGAACTGCAGCATTGTCCTGTTGAAAAACCCARTCATTACCACACAGACGAGGGCCCTCAGTCATGAGGGATGCCCGCTGCAACATCTCCACATCAGCTGCTGTTTGACGCCCCTGCACAACCTGAAGCTCCATTGTTCCATTGAAGGAAAACGCACCCCAAATCATGATGGCGCCCCCACCACTGTGCCGTGTAGAAAACATCTCAGGTGGGATCTCCTTGTCATGCCAGTAATGTTGGAAGCCATCAGGACCATCAAGGTTAAATTTTTTCTCATCAGAGAAGACAACTTTCTTCCACCTTTCAATGTCCCATGTTTGGTGCACCCTTGCAAAGTCCAAACGGGCAATTTTGTGGCGTTGAAGAAGACGTGGCCTTTGAAGAGTTTTTTTGTTTCTGAAGCCCTTCTCTCACAGATGCCGTCTGTTGGTTACTGGGCTGCAGTCAGCACCAGTAATGGCCTTAATTTGGGTAGAGGATCGGCCCGTGTCTTGACTGACAGCCAATTGGATCCTGCGGCTCAGAGCTGGTGAGATTTTTTTTGGGTCTACCACTTGACTTTTTTGTTCCATAACCCTCAGGATCATTTAAAAAATGTAAAATGACTGTCTTACTGCGTCCAACTTCAGCAGCGATGGCACVTTGTGAGAGGCCTTGCTTATGCAGCTCAACAATCCTACCACGTTCAAAGTCAGTGAGCTTTTTTACTTTTGCCATCAGGAGGTCTTGACAGTGTAAAGACTTGACAGAAAATGACGTGGAATCCAGATTTTTGCACAGCTTTTGGCTTTTAAAGACTATAGTCTTAAACTTTTGATCAGCTGAAAAAAATCATGTTTGAGTGTAAATGCAGTTTTCAGAAAATTCCCTGCTCAAAAGTTCTTGTCTCTTGCACTGATTTCTTCTTTTAACATTGTGAAGCTCTACTTAGAACCTTCTTAAGATCCAATAGTGCAAAATGCAAATTCTTGCACTTTTTTGACTGGTCTTAAGATTTTAATCAGGGTATATTTAGAAATGATGTATGTTTGTTTTTCAGGGAAGATTATCACGCAAAGAAAGCAGAAGAAAGAAAACATTTCAAAGCAGAGACAAAGGCAAAAGCCAGACAGTAAGATCACAAAATAAAACTATTCTACAAAACTATCTGAGCATTTTGTTGAAAAAAAAAGTCTGAACCACGTTCTTCTAAATACATTTTCCAGGGAAAAAGAGCAGAATCAAAAACAGGCTGAGGAAAAAGAAATGGTGAGATTGTCACAAGCCTAGAGTTTCAGTGTTAAATGTGGACCCAGTGTTGAAAGCAGTGATTTGTCCCTGCAGGGTTTGCTCCTGGATGAACAGACCGGTTGCTTATTAAAGTTCTCTGGAGATCTTGAAAATGTGTCAAGAGAGGACTTTCATGAAGTGTTTTCTGGGCACGGAAAGATAAAATGGGTTGACTTCACAAGAGGGGCCAAAGAGGTTGGTTATCCTAAAAATTAAACCTTAAAGAAAGAAGTGAACAAGTGTTACAATGTAAACTAGTTCCTTTATTCCCATTAAGGGCACCCTGCTTTTCGACGGGAACGCAAAAGAAGCTTTTGAAAAGGCGAAAGAGGCGAACGGAGGGGAGCTGAAGATGAAGGACGGCACGGTAACCTGGCAGGTGCTTGAGGGAGACGAGGAGAAAGAGACGCTGAAGAAGATTGTTGAAGCTCAGCAAGGATCGTTCAGCCGATCAAAGGGCCGAGGTGACGTTTTAAAATGTCATTTACACCAACAATTTAGATCTGATGCTTCCAAATTCAAATCAATCATTCCGTGCCTTTTATGACTTTGATTATAAAAGGTGGAAGAGGAAGAGGAGGCGGCAGAGGAAGAGGAGGCCGAAGGGGAAGAGGTGGAAGAGATCAAGGCCGAAGTAATGTCCAAGGAAAGAAGATAAAATTTGACAGTGATGATGAAGAGGAGGGTAAGTGAAACATTTTGATGAATGACATTTGCAGTTTGGTGCAGCGTAGTGAGATGTTGACTTTAGACTTTTGAGTATTTATCATTTGCAACATGTTTTATCTGCTTTTTTCTTACAGCCCCTGCAGCCCCAAAGAGGGAGCTCAAAGATGCTGATGGTCCTCCAGCCAAGATAATCAAAACTGAAAATGGATCTTAATAATGACAATGTTCAGTTTTTCTTTTCTTTTTTGTAGTAAAAACATTTATTATTAATATTGAATATGTAGAGGCAACTTAAATCCATTCCAGAAAAAGCTTTTCAGGTTTTGGAGAACCGTATGAAGTCCACCTGGATGTCAACCTAAAAGAAGCAAAAAATAAGAAAAACTCATTTTCAAAGCTTATATTTAGTTTTCAGCTTTTTAAAGTCTATGTTGTGCCTCTCATTATTATTTGTGTACATTGTGTCATTTAAAGATGTTTTGATTTTAACATATTAATCAGACAACTGCTTTTGACAGCAATTTAATTTCTCCAGAAATTATTTTTAGTTTTTTTTCTTCTAGGACCTGTGTGACACCTTGAATCAGTGTGCCAATGTTTTCTTTGCAGATTTCCTACAGATTGATGCAAATGTGCACTGAATATTTTCAGTTTGCATCTGTAAACGGCCAATAAAACATTTATAAAATCAAATTCATGTCTGTTAGAATTTGATGGAGAATATGTTTTTATAAAACACGCTCACCGATTTCTTCTTGTGAAACTTGTAGGAAGCCGGCAAATCATATCGTAGCTCTGTAGAGAAGTCAAATGGTCAGTTTGAACATTTTCATTTAAGAAAAGCTGCGACTTTGTACTCAACAAACCTGCAACAACGTCCATCTTTACTCCCCAGTCGTTGGCTTTTTTCTCTATGTGCTGAAAATCCATTGAACAATAAATGTTTCAGCCTTTGTACCAAACAAGACTAGAGACTTGGTTATTAATAGGGCTGCCACAAATTTTTATTTTTATAATCGATTAATCACCGATTATTTTTTCGATTAGTCGACTAATCAGATCATATGTTGAATATAAAACATAGCTTATCTTGCCAGAATACAGCTGCTATTATATAACCATAGTTAGATTTTAGCTATATGCTAATTATAAATAATTGCTGTGGAAGGCAGGTTCTGTTCTGCAGATATTGCACAGGTTTCTCTTTCATTTTCTTAAAATGATCCCACATTTTAGAGCTCCGTTGACAGGTAGCCATGACACCAGAGCCTGTCTGTATAATGTCTTGTGACGTCCACGGCCTACCCCAGTTACCACTACTGTGCATGTGTGTCAAGGACAGAAAGGCAGATGTGGCATTGGAGGGTGTCAAAGTAGTTTGGAGAGAACAACAAAGTAAAGAAAAAAAAAAAAAAAGAAAACGATTATTCGATTATTAAATAAGTCATCGATTATTTTAATAATCGATTAGTCGTCGACTAATCAACTAGTCGTGGCAGCCCTAGTTATTAATAATCAAATTTGAGTCAGTTTTCATAAGACATGTCTGATGTGAAACTTACCTCTCGTGTCGATGTTTTGTGAAGTGAATACACAGCTGTCGTTGCCATAGTTAAAGCAGCTCGAAGGAACTTCATATCTATACCTTGAAAAGAGAGTAAAACATTGAACTATGTTTAATTCAGCTAAACATTTAATTCTGAATAACTTGCAGTGTTTAGTGTGCATCGATGCAAATTAGATCATGTAAAAAACAAAAGTGAATTTATTGCTTCAGGGGATAAAATACACTAACACCTACTCATCAGAAGAGAAACTGACCTTGGTTGTGTTTTGTACCAAAAGGCGGATTCATGATCACAGTGTCAAACCTTTGTGCATAAGTCTCTCCCTGCAGACAGCACAGGTCACACTGGACCAGATCCACATTGGAGGTCTCAAATTCTTCAGCATTTCTCCTGAATATCTCCAGCGCCTCGTCGTCAATGTCAAAGCCAACACACAAGCTGCAAAGCAGAAGTTTTCAAACAATGCACTGCGTGACAAGAGTACACTTCTGAGGGTCTTTCTCTCACCCTGCGTCCAGCATCGCAGCCCCGATGCTGAGGACTCCGCAACCACATCCCAGGTCTGCCACCAGTTTACCCTCGATGTCATCAAATGTAGAGTGGATCGTGTAAAGCATGCACGCTGTGGAGGTGAAAAGACACAAACTTAAGAAAAAATGTGCCGTACGAGTAAATAAGATGCTCTGTACCTCACCAGCAATGTGAGGACTGGTTGGATACTGTTCCAGAAGGATTTTGGGTTTTTCAAACGTGTCCACCTGCTGTAGGCAGCTTTCTAACTCTTTTAGCTTCATCGCAAACGGCGTACACTCGTATATTAACACCAATAAACTACATAAAAACAATGTTATTTAGATTGTGGATAAGATTTGATCGCAGCAAGACAAGCAGTAAACCCTTGAACAACATAAACACGCTGAAATCCTTCTTCTGTAACTTATTTGAAACGAGCATTTACCGCCACCCAGTGGACTGGAGCAGAGACACCATACTGCCACTCACAGGAGAGGACATAAAAGTTTAGGATTTTTTTTTTAACGTTTCCATCTTTTTTTTTTTGTTCCTTCTTATTTTTAAACTTCTTATCTTTATTGGCACCCATCCTTTTCTCTTTTATGCAAGTTTGTTTGTTTGTTTGTTTGAAATACGCCTTATTGTTTGTACATTGTATTATTTTGTATGTTCTTTGTTGTTTAATAATAAATAAATAAATAAATAAATAAATAAATAAATAAATAAATAAAAGTTTAGGATTGAAATTCATTTTCTTCAGAAAAACAGATTTTAACAAATTTACATATTTTCCCCTAAACCGAAAAAAAACAACATACCAGGACATAACAGGGTTAAAATACAGGAAGTTACAGTACTATTTTAAATTAATTATAAATTATAAAATCAGAACAATAAAAAATTATAATAGTGGGTAAAATTACTGATATAAAAATAACATAAAGAATTGCCTTGAAGCTTGATAGCATTAGTTTGCAGGTATTATTTTTATTACTCTTTTTTTTATCTCTCAGTAAAGACGGAAGTTATGAGCAGGGTGGGGCGGTCCCAAACCATCTATTGCCTGGCAACGCTCAAACATGATTACGTAGCATTACGTAGCATCCATATCAGTGGTATGACCTCAGTTAAACAAGTAATCATGTCTAGGTCGTTTGTGTAAAATAGGACTTACTTTGTTTAATAAATTAAAAGTGCTTTAAATGCTATTTTTCTACAAATGAACACACTGTACTTTATAACAAAAATCAACAGCTCATTACTGCCGCTGTGAAGTATCGCGAGAAAGACCGAGAACAAGGAAACAAGACAACAAAAATAAATTCGTGCACAACAAGCTAGAGTGCATGATGGCGGCGTCGCTGCTGCGTCGGGACAAGAGAGCTACTGCCGCTTACTTGAAGGCAGACCTAACCCGGACTGACAACAGCTCCGGGCTCCAACAGCTCCAGGAGCTGCTCGACGCCGTGCTAAATCCCGAAAAGACAGCAGCGGACACCGAAGCTCTTGACTGGTGTAAATGTCTGATTGCAGGGGGCGAGGGTTTCGAGGAGTTCTGTAAGACGGTCCGCTCCTTTGACAACGCGACGCTGTGCGGCTTGGTCTGGACGGCGAATTTCGTAGCATATCGATGCCGGACCTGTGGCATCTCTCCGTGCATGTCACTGTGTGCGGAGTGTTTTAATAATGGCGAACACACGGGCCATGATTTCAACATGTTCAGGAGCCAGGCTGGCGGGGCCTGTGACTGTGGAGACAGTAATGTCATGAGAGACAGCGGGTAAGCTAAGCGGGCTGTGCTAACTAGCATGTATGCTTTTGACAGGTGTTACGAAGAAGTGAGCCAACATAGCTGATAAAATCTCCCCGTCAGTGGACGCTGTATCARTTTTTATGTAATCCCAACTGAGATATTCTTATGAATATTTGCCAGTCGATAAAAAGTATCACGACGCACCCGTCATTTATTTTTAGCAAATCCTGGACAAGCCAAAGATCTCTTGCTAAACATAACCGTAATTATCAGAAGAATCAGCAGGCTTGTATTACCACTGCGTTATTGCGTAGATGCTACCTGAAAAGGTAATACACTGGAGTTTCTATTGAATTCTTTATTACTTTTGAGGAAATCATCTTATCAAGATACAATAAGGTTCTAAACATACAACAGTATCAATATTTTTTTTCCTTATAAAAACAGCAAAGCCAGTAACTTAAACCTTTTGATATAGTATTTGTTTCATTATGTTCAGCCATAGGGAGAYTGAGGAAGAAATGGTTGGTTGTGTGGTTACAAACATAAATCACTGCTTATATCTCTCTCATTCTAGCATTTGTTTTAGAATGAAATTAATAATAATAATACATTTATCAACATCGCAAAGGATTCCAGTGAAATCTGCAAGCATGACCTGCATTTCAGAAAATATAAACATGGTAATCAGACTGGCTCCTGCTTCACAGCAGCAGCTCCTCTGTAAATATTGTGTCCAAGTTCTTCTAAGTTAGGGTTGTCTATTCAAGTTATGCAACTGTGCTATTATTTTGTTAAGTAGAAAATGCWTATTAGTCAGAAAAAAAATAGTTGTTTCGTGTCGGTCATCGGCTGCCCCGACAAAGATTTGTATCGCCCATAGAAGAAAAAAATAGCATTCTTAAAAATGACCAAACTTGTGGTTTAAGTGTAACTAGTAAAGTCATCACAGTCCTAAACAATATTGTTTTCCAACTATTATAAAATATAATGTATATATTTTTGCTGCCTTTTAGCATCGCATCCAACATGATTCCTTTTAAGTTTTGTTGGTTTCTTTTAAGTAAGTTTGTTTAATATAAATAGATACTTTTAGGATTGCATAGATCAAGCGTTATTGGTTAATCCATCTTGTAAGAAACAGTTAGTTGTCTGTCTGTGCTATAAAAGAAAAAAGGTTTGTAAAGCAACTAGGACTGCCACAAACGATTATTTTTATAATAGATTAATCACCAATTATTTTTCCGATTAGTCGACTAATCAGATCATACGTTAATTGAATATAAAACATAGAGCTTATCACTCCAGAATGCAGCTGCTATTATATAACCATGGTTAGATTTTAGCTATATGCTAACTAAAAATAATTGCTGTAGAAGGCAAGTTCTGCTCTGTAGATATTACACAGGTTTCTSTTTCATTTTCTTAAAATGATCCCACACTTTGAGCTCTGTTGTCAGGTAGCCATGATACCAGAGCYTGTCTGTATAATGTCTTGTGACGTCCACGGCCTACCCCAGTTACCACTACTGTACATGTGTGTCAAGGACAGAAAGGCAGAGGTGGCAGTGGAAGGTTTCAAAGCAGTTTGGAGAGAAAAACAAAGTAAAGAACAAAAAAACGATTAGTCGATTATTAAATTAGTCATCGATTATTTTARTAATCGATTAGTCGTCGATTAATTGACTAATCATGGCAGCCCTAAAAGCAACTGAACTTTGGTTTAATTTTAATTTTGACTTTTGTTAATTTTGTCCATTACTCTTCACTGGTCCATCTAAAAAAATAACTATTAAGCAAATGTTGCTGAGCTTGAGAAAACTATGAAGATGGTTGAGGCGGATTCACACACATCTTGTTACGATTGAAGCACTTTCTGTCTATCTAAAGTTCTCAGAAAACACAAAAGAGCAAGAGGAAAGAAAATATAACTGTTTTTGTCATAATTTTATTTCTTTTCCAACAGGTTTTGTCTGAGGCATAGGTTAAGAACTGGGGAAAATGTTCCCTCAATACCTCGAGATCTTCTCCTGATGTCTGAGGTGGTTCTCCCTCGTTTTATCCTGTGCATCATACAGTATCTAAGAGATGGATACACTGAAGCAGGTAAAAACAGCTGCAAAAGATGTCAGATAAAATATCCTTACTGTTTTCACAAACATGTACCCTTAGAAAAGCTCAGAACACCTCAAGTCACTCAGAAATGCAGAAATAAAAAGTTTGGAACGGCATGTTTAAGCCACTTTGACTCTGATTGAATACAAGTTGCAAAACAGAATCTGTTACGCATGAATCTTACAAGCATTACACAACTGTTTACATCTAAAATTACATCCGCAGAGTACCGCGTCTCATGACTTTTATTGCTTATCTCTGTTTACCAGACACATCAGCTGAGAGAGATCTACAGAAAGTTCTACAACAACTCGAGCCTCAGATCTCCTTCTTGGAGGATCTCACAAAGATGGGAGGAGCAATGAGGACCGTACTGACAAAGATCTTGACCAATCAGCAATTGTACAAGGAGTTGAGCATGGGTAACTTTATGGACTAGAAATAAAACTTGTTGATAGAGATCATGCATTTTATACCATTTATTCTTGGTCTCATTAACTTTAGTGTAGTTTTTGCCTTCTTTTGGTCGCAGGATTTTTAATCCCTTGAAAAACCCTTTTATTGCACTAGTTGCACTAGACATTTTTGCATTACAGTGGATATGTTTATTTTGAGTTTTAATTCTCAACTTGATTTTTTTTTCTTGTTGCAGGCCAAGAAGATAATGTTTATGCTAAAAAGAACTACGACAAGTATTTGTCAGCCTTGAAGAATTCAGGTCTGGTTTCTGTGGAGGAGAAAACCCAAACTGTTGCTGCTGACGTTGCTGTTGGAGCTGAAGGAGGTGCAGGAGCAGTGGTCCTGCTGGGTAAGGCTACACTTGCATATTTGCATCAAATATTATGAATAGTTCAAAAAGAATCACAGTTCAGGGGTCTCATTTATAAAGGATTGCGTGGAAACCATAGTAAAAGTGAACGTAYGGCCAAAAGGCGGAAATGGCGTAYGCCAAAAAAAATTCAGATTTATAAAACAGTGCGTACGCATGTTTCTGCKCATCTTTCCTTTATAAATCACAGGCGCACATCAGAGTTTGCGCATGAGGTCCCGCCTCAGGTTCTACCCTCTACACGCCCACACTCAACCATAAACAGTCAATGTAACGTACCTCATGAATGTTAAGATGTATTTAAATCAGTCAGCTGATCAATACCAACAAAAGTGATTGGTTCAGACACGCTCCGTCGTGCGTCTGGAGGATGACAGGTGCTGATTGACAGCTGCTCACTTGAAAGAATGTCTGTAATTGACACAGATTTTCCCTCATTTTGCTTTAAGAGTAATATAATGATTTTTATAAAAAAAGAAAATCTCAGCTTCAAACTAATTTTCCATCAGAGCCTGCAGGACAATAAAAACAATAAAAATAATATTAAATAAGTCAGATAAAATTAGAAATAAGTCCACCGCTCTTCTCCTCGTCCTCTCCCCATCCTGCCTGCTCTGTTATCCGCGGCAGACACCCCCACCCCGCGCGCGCACACACACGCACACACGCACGCACAMACATCCCCGCCCGGCGCGTGCCAAATACAGACTTTAAATGTGAAGTTTTATAACATTCACACTGGTGAGATGGATGCGCCCTGCGCGTGTATCCAAAGCGTGACTTTTGCTGTCCTGCTCGGGGAGGGGTCTGTGGGTCAGGGAGGGGTCTGTGGGTCAGGGTCGTCTGAGGAGGAAGCAGATGAAGGGAGTTGCACACGGGAACTTTTATTTAAGATTTAAGTTTTTTTTTATTTCAAAGGTCCTCATGGCTCAGCAGCAGAAGCATAAATATTACTGTTAAGAAAGCTGATGATAAAGTTGAACAAAAATACAAGTCTGATGAAGGTAAATTAAATATCTGACAGTGATCATGACACAGTGTGGCTCTAATTCCTCACTTCACCATCTGTGTCGCAATTTCACGTCTCCAAAATGAGCGTACGCATGGGTCAGAGCTGGTGTGAGGCACCGCACATTTTCATGTCAAGTTTGGATTTTATAAATCACAACCTTGGTGTAAAAAGTGGCGTATGCAAGTTTCTGGGCTCAAATTGTGCGTACGCCACTTTTATAAATCCGACCCCAGATGCTTGTGAGAAGGGATTATTGAGGAAATATTTGGGGAATCACTTTGTACCCTTGGCATTTGTGTGCTGGAAAATGTTGCCTTTAGATTTGTTTGAATAGTTTTGCATTGAAATCACTTGAAACTTCAAGAGATTTTTCAAACAAAAGCTGATTGGTGAAAAAAAAATTAAAATGGGCCAAAAACGTTTTGTTAAGGAAAATAAGTTACAGGTGTCTGGGAACACTTTCAGGGTTTCTATCAGTGGTGCTTTCAGTTGTTTTGGAGTTTAAAACTTGCACACAAACGATGGTAGTTGAAACACAATGATGAGTTGTTGACGTATTGTTTCTAATATTCATTGCAGTTATGTATATTTTTTAGACAGTCGGATGCAGAGGGTGTCAMCTTTTTCAAAAACGTTGGGTGTGGTGTATGTTATTATTTGAGTTTCTTTTGCTGCCTGATTGATAAGTTGTAGGTTTGTTTGAAAGGCATTGAGCAGATGAGGGCTTCTGTTTCTGCTAAATTACTGTGTAGTTGAGCCCGTCATGATTTAAAGTTTATTAATGAGTCAGGAAACTGGTTTGCATACAGAGAGTCATATGAATACAGATAGGATTTCTTTTTTTGCAGAATTATGAGCACATAACTTGCTTGTGTTTCCTCCTTAGAGAAATTAAACAATAGTTCAAAGAGTCAAGCAGAGTGAGGAAAAACATGATCTATTCCATGTAGGTGACAATTTGATTTTATTCCCTCGAAGAATWAAAAAGACAGGCTTTATCTTCCTGGTACGTRGCACTCGTGGAGAGAAAGTACATTAGACTGAGTTTTAACAGAAATATAAATATTTTTTACAGTTTACAAGGTGACTCATTTTTTTGAGGCTTGAATAAACATGCAATACATTTAAGCACATTTTCGCTGACATGTTTTTCAAACTTCAGACCTCTTAATAAGGTCCAGGTATTTTCATATTTTCTTTAAATGACTGTTAAATGTATTAATTTTTTAGGAACAACTGGACCAGGAAGCCCAGATGAATCTACTAAAGAGGTATATGTTATTTAAAGTGTCACTTGTCTTATTTTAAATTGTGTTTATTGTCCATAAGATCAGTTTATTCTTGTTTTTATCTTTCATTTAATGAGTAATTGTTGATCAGTCTGTTGTATGTTTCTATCTTCTGCCTGTTACTTTCAGGAGGATCAAGATGGAGGGCAGTCTGTTGGTCAGAGGAAAAGGGTAAAGCTGAGCAGCAGTACCAAAGGTATATCTGTCTAAAAAAAAAGAAAAAGTATTAATATTAATATAATCATGAGCTACATTGATTTGCATTTTTGTTTTTTGTCTTTCCTGCTTCTATAGACCCATTAATTATTGAATCACTAAAGCATAAATGCTTTCTGGAAGAGTTGTTGTTTTGGACAATAAAGTTTGAGTTCCCYCAGAAAATGGTCACATTCTTATTAAACATGTTGCCTGATCAAGATTACAAGGTATTGTTTTTAATTCTCATGAATATTTTCTTTATTATTTGTTCTTTGTGGTTGTATGATTTCTTTGCCTGTCTTAAARTAAGATCTTCATTTAGATTTTTCTTGTCATCGTAATAGCGTTTTCCTCCTTTTCGGCAGATTACATTCACAAAAACATTTGTTCAGCATTACGCCTTCATTATGAAAACGCTGATGAAAAGCCACGAGTCGGACACCATGTCCAACCGCATCGTGCACATCAGCGTGCAGCTGTTCAGCAACGAGGAGCTGGCTCGACACATGACGGAGGAGTGTCATCTCCTGGACATCATGGTCATGGTCCTCCACTACATGATGGAAAGTTGCCTTGTTAAAAGTGAACTTCAGGGTAAGTTCTGCTTATTTTCTAACTTGTTTTTGTTTTAACACACTGCAGAAGTGGGTTGAACTAGCTGATAACTAAGCTTCACTGCATTCACTTGATTTATGCACTATTTTTAGTAAGCCCCAAGTTAAAGGRAAGAAAAAAAAATAGATTATTTGGAAGCTGATGAGGAAGTGATGTCGTGAAAATCTCTTGAGGTCACTCTCTCAGCCAGCCTGAGCAGAGCTTATTGTTTCCAAGTGATTTGACACTTTCTACGATGGCCAAGGAACATTTGGTTTGAACAGTTTCTTTCGTTTTGCTTTCTTTGGCTCTACATCCGAAACATTTCTTCTTCTCCAGATTTGGGGTCTTATCCCTGGCATTTCTTGTACTTTCTGGACTTTTATCATCTGCTCCTACATATAAACAACACAGCTTGGGAACACATCCTGACAAGCACTGAATCAAAATGAGCCTGAAATATGGAAAAATAATACTTTTATCATAAAAGCTCAAAACAAAAACTGCATGACTGAAGCTATTCCAGTGGGCTATAGTTGTGCAGATTGTGTGTTTCAGTCCCCGGTCTCTTGAGTGTGTCTGCAAAATGAAATGAGTTAAATGTTTTTACTTTTTTTTTTTTTCCGGAAGCACTGTTTGCTGTCTTGTGAAAAGTGTGGCTATAATGACACAACTTTCTTTTCATCTGATCCTTGTAAATCAATAACAACTGTAAACCGATCTTTAGCTTAATGTCAATATGTTCCCTATTTCTCCTCTTTTTTTTTCCCTCCTAATAGATGAAGAGAACAATCGACATGTTGTGGTAAACTGCAGTGAAGCGCTTTTGAAGAACAATACTTATTGGCCACTCGTTAGTGATTTTATCAATATCCTGTCACACCAAAGTGTAGCTAAAAAGTTCCTGGAGGACCACTCGTTACTGATGCTTTGGATGACCTTTGTTTCATTTTTTCAAGGTAAGTTGAAATATGCAAAAATGCTCAAGGAATTAACCCATTTATCACTTGGTTGTTTAAATTTCCACTACAACAATCTCCCTAGATGATGAAATCAATAAATCAAAGTGTAAAAAACAAAACAAAAACAATGGTTGCCAGTCTTCAGTTTTTAAATAATTTTCAAAGTCAGTTTATAGAATAAAGTTAAATTTGTTTACAGTACAAACTAGTGAAATGCCTCAGAGAGAGTCTGCAACACAAAGTAGGTATTGGATCAATTGCAGCTTCTTTCCTTTTTTTCCTAAGATTGTTTTTAAATGATTAACTTCATGATGTGTGTTGCTGGTACTTTTTTTTATACAGACTATCCTTGTGCTAATTTCGTGTTCCAGTTTTGATGGAAGTCAAATGATTCCTCTGCTGTTTGTAAATCTAAGATTTTGTAATCAAACMCAACACTTAATTTTAATTAATGCTTTTGTTTTCGTACAAATTAGCCAGATATCAGATTATTTAGTCAGACAAAAATGTCCCCAATCTGTCCTCTTATAAAAAAAGCCTTGTAGACAAAGTGATTTTAGTGTAGATGTTGTTAGTGGCACTTACTCGTCACGTGTAATCTGCCACGGCTCTAAAAATAACATTCACCCTTGTACAGTGGGTCTGAGTGTCCTCTTGCTGACAGTTTGAGCACAGTGTCACTATTACGTTGTATCCAGTTTTGCAGCACTTCAGCTATGGACTGATGCATTGAAAGGAGATTTAAAATAAGCATGAATGATGCAAATATTGCAACGTAAACAGGTCTGCACTGATGGTTTAAAAATGACTTACACCAGGGGTGGGCAATCCTGGTCCTCGAGGGCTGCAGCCCAGCAGGTTTTATGATTTTCCCTGCTCCAACACGCCTGATTCAGACATTGAATTACCTTGTCCAAGTTCTGCAGTATGGAGGAC